TATTGAATAGTATTTTCTGAAGGGGTCCTGGGTTTCAATCCTTTTTCTTGTTGGCAGTGCCTGGTGTCCTTGGGTGATTGTACCCACTTTCTCTTCACCTACCAGGTCTGCTTGCTAAAGGAGCATTGGGGTTATCATTTTGGGCCATAGAAGGCCCTTCTTCTTTTTTAAGAAATATTTTAAAAATACGTTTTTAAATAAATTTTTATTTATTTACTTATTTTGTTAATCCTCACCTGGGGATATTTTTCCATTGAGTTTTAGAGAGAATGAATGAGAGGGGGAGAGACAGAGAAAGAGGAACATCTATGCGACAGAGACACGTGGATTGGTTGCCTCCCACAGGTGCCCCAACTGGGGCCTGGATTGAGCCTACAACTGAGGTATGTGCCCTTGACTGAAATCAAAGCTGGGACCTTTCAGTCTGACGGCTGACACTCTATGCCCTGAACCAAACTGGGTAGGGCTAAATATGTTTTTTATTTATTTCAGAGAGAGGAAGGGAGAGTAAGAGAGAGATAGAAACATCAATGATGAGAGAGAATCATCCATCAGTGGTCTCCTGCATGCCCCCTATTGGGGATTGAGCCTGAAACCTTGGTATGTGCCCTGGCCGGAATCAATAGGTCCATGCTCAACCACTGAGCCACTCTGGCCAGGCAGAAGGCCCTTCCTGAGTGACACTCCAGAGTTCAGGGATAGTTAGAGTATTTCCTGTAATAAGACTTTTGGTGTCCATGCACCTAGAGTAGGCAATGTACCCTCTTCTCCCTTTTGTTTTCTATCCACACCCCCACTCTAAAACAGACAACCAATATCAATATCTACTGTTTCTGCTTGCCCCCTCCTTTTTGTTAATAGGATTGCTTCATATGGTTTGGGTCATTAAAATCTAGAGTGTGACTCTAGATTTTATTTTCCACAGTTAACAATGCATAGCCCTGGTTGGTGTGGCTCAGTTGGTTGGAGCATTGTTCAGTACACACAAAGGTTTTCAGGTTGCGAGGTTTGATCCCTGGTCAAGATTCATACTGAAGGCAACCGATT